AGAGAGAGAGAGAGAGAGAGAGAGAGAGAGAGAGAGAGAGAGAGAGAGCGAGAGGCAGAGCGAGGGACTTTCATTCATTCGGGGTGGGGAGCAGCGAATAAACGCGATGCGTGCACACGTGCACACGATCCACGCCGCGGCTCGAATCGTAATCGCGAAATTCCTTCGTTCGATCGTTGCACGCGAACGTGAAAGAGCGAACGGTCCGAAAGCGGAGAAAGTCCGTTGTTGGACACTCTCTCTCCGCCTTGGAAACTCTCCTTCTTACCTGGCAACTGATTTATCGGCGACGCCCGTTCACCTGGAAAGATTCGGATACCCTCTCTCTCCCTCTATTGTTTCAGGGATCATGGGATCGACGTGTCATCTGACAGCGGTGATCGCGCTGTTCCTCCTTCGAGCGGCCACTCTACACGCCCATCGTGAGCACAAGGTTTATCGATCGATTTCCGGTTTCGCTCGAACGCTACCTCCTCCCCCCTTCCCCCTTCCCCTCGTGGCGCCACGTTTATAACTCGTTGTTATCGTTCGTTTCAAGGTTCACAACATCGTGCTGTATCCTGACAAGCACAGCTGGTGTCAGACTACCCAGATAAAGCAGGTGGTCACGTGGCCCCAGTGCTCCTCCCAGGAATTGGACAACAACGTCTGCGTGGGAGCTTGTTTCTCATACATGGTGCCGCACAGCGAGCCATCCGCCCCCGGTGATCTGATCAGACCTTACTGCGACTCCTGTCAACCGTTGGACAGTGTTTGGCACACGGTAATATAAATAAATATCGATATCCGATATCGGATGTCTCGCTCTTTCTTTCTCTCTTTTTTTTTTTTTTTCGTCGAGTCTTTGCTCTTAAAAAAGAAAAAAAAAAAACAACACAGGTCACGTTGGACTGCAAGGATGAGACGAACAATCCTATCACGATGCAGAAGAAGGTCCAAATCATCACCAATTGTTCGTGCACCTCGTGCATGGAAACTTCTCGTATCAAGCCGGACTACAACACTCTGCTGCAATCGTTGACAGACGAAAGTTTGGACAAGAACGTGAACGTGGTGCACGAGATGCCCGATCTGTTGGAGAATCCCAACTTGAACTTTTCCAAGAACACGAGCAGGGACGGTGTCCAGGCTAACGAGAGATTCATGCAGAACTTCAAACAGTTGAAAGACTCGGCCAAGTTGGGGACGAAAGAGCTGTTCTCCAAGCTGGACGAGGACATCGATTTCGACAAGTTGAGGGAGTTGTTGGACAAATACGGGCAGGAGGAGGAGAAGCAACACTCTCATCAACGCCTCCACCAGCATCAACATCAATCGAGCGGGAAACAGCAGCAGCAACAGCAGCAGCAGCAGCAGCAGCAGCAGCAACAACAACAGCCTCAGCATTACACGACCACGATGCTTCGAGGGCCTCATCATTCCATGGTTTTGGACTCGGACGTGAAAGAGAAGATCGACGTGGAACCCCATTATCTTCATCCAGCTGTCGCGGGCCAAGAGATCAGCTATCACGACAACGTGCTTGTTGACAAGGATAAGAAAAAGGATTTCTGAGGGGAGGGGAGGGGTGGAAGACCTGCGTGTTTCGCGATGGAAACGCGTGGGGTGAACGAGATCGATTTCTTTTCCATTATTATTTGTTAAGATTCATTCGTGACCTAGTCCAATCCAGTAGTAAATTGTTCCATTTGATTTGATGGTAAATGAGATTCAGCTCGTTTCGCGTGCTATCGCATATATCTGTAAATAGAAGAGATTCCTCGTTTTATTTTATTTCCGTTCTTATTTTCTTTTATATCTTTGTTGGCAAAAGATAATACTCTCTTTTTTTTTTTTTTTTTTTTTTTAGTATCGATTATTATCGTCGGGAAACCGAAGTTGGAATTAACGTGCAAAAACCTCGTTAGGATTTAATCATATTTAGGGAAATACGTGGATAAGTAAAAGATATGGAAAGGAAGAAAAAGGGGAGAGAGAAATTCTAATATATATTTAATTATTATATTAATTAATAACTATTTAATATACTCACGCGTCTAATAAACGAATATTACGTTCCGGAATTTTAGTTATTAAAGTAGCAGGACTGGAAACCATTGTAGACTTAAAGATGTTATATGTCTTGTTGACTGGCTTAAAAAAAAAAAAAAAAAAATATACTTTGTCTCGCAGAGAATAAAACCAAGTCTGTACGATTTTTTCCTCATATGCATCCTCGACCATTCTCCCGTTTTGGAATCGCTTCTTCTTCTTCTTCTTCTTCTTCTTCTTCTTCTTCTTCTTCTTAAAAAAAAGTTCGAGTACCGAGCATAAGAGAAATTAAAGGAGGAACGAAAAATCAAAGGAGGAAGAATTATCAGCGAAAAAACGAATACAAAAGAGAAAAGAAATGTGAGACGAGTCAAAATAATCGAATCGTAACGTAGTAAGTAATGCAATTAGAGATAGAGAAAGACGGAATAAAAATTCGTGCAACGTTTCGTTTCGTTCCTTGACGACGCTTTTTCTTCGAAAAAAAAAACTTGTCAAATTTCCATACACTTACCAAAGAAACCCACTACTCGCCGCCGCTTCTTTCCGTTATCGCTCTCGATCATCGCAGATAAAATCTTGGACACGCTTTATCGATGGATAAAGAAAAAGAAAAAAGAAGAAAAAAATGGCCACCTTGATCGATGATCGCGATCGATCGCGAATAATATTGGATTCGGATCGCAGGCGATTGGATCGAAGATCGGTAAATTTCTCATAGATAAGAGGCGTCGGTTCGAATGGAAGAAATTGTCGGTGATAAGGAACGGTTTCGACCAATGAGCGGCGCGAAAGCGAGCGGATCGCCGGTACCGAAGAGCGATTACAACTCGGTAACGGAACGAGGATCGAGCGAGGCGACGACGAGCAGTGTTGCTCGGCGCTCCGTTGCGCGTCCCTGCTGCTTTTCTGCGCGGTCGCGTAGCGTTTCACTGTGACGGCGCAGCTGCGCGTGCCACCGAGAAATTATGTTGCCCGGTTGCTGACACCGGGACGAATACGGGAAGCGAAAGAAAGAACTGAAGATCGCACGCGATGCACAGCAAATCCCTGGTTACTCGATCGCCTTTAAATGCCCACCGACAATCCGACAAACGTCATCACGGCAATCGTCGTCACATTAGAGAAAGTGGATAGCATCGAATTCGTACGAGCCTCCTCCGAGCCGAGGACAACAACCACCATGGACGACGGTAGGCCTCTGTTATTTTAACGTTGAATCGTTGCTTGGTGATGGTTGCTGGGTGAAATGGATTTACGCTGCTCTGTCTCCTCCGGGAGGAGGAGAATATGGTTTAGATACGCCGAATTTACGAATTTAGGATTTGAGATCAGAAGAAGTCGAGGAGAAGAAGTTTCGAGAAAGATTTTCGGAGTCTCTTGACGGGTCGACTCGAATTTTGTAATTAAAAATATAGGGATATTTGATATATCGGGATGGTGAGATATAAGTTCACGAAGCGAAGAGACTGATGAAGTTATTGAGGTATTGAGGCGAACGAAGTGTTTACGTTATAGTCACGCTATAAAAGTAACAGCGAAACTTTCCTTTGCGTCAATCGCCGACCGGTCTCCGGTTGCTCAATGTTACGCCAATACTTGCGAGACAATCTCGAATCGATACGAGATCGAGACGATTCGAAACTTTGTTCCAGGTCAGGGTTGGACAGACAGGAATTTAGAAAAATACTCCCGAATGTAGTACGCACGAGCCATGTGTTCAAATTGTCGTAAAGCAGACGGATAATCCATATTTATTCGTTATAAAAATAACGCGATTTCGAAATAGCCACGCTTATTTCTAAGACGTTCCATTTAAAACACGCAATCTCGATGAACTTTGACAATGAATGCGAAAATTATTATTATATCGATCTAGAAACGACGAATTATATTTCTCGCGTGGAAAACTTTTGCAAAATCGAATTGATCAATCGTCAATCGATTAGAGGAAATTTAAAGAAAACTTTTTCGATTCGAAAGATATTTAAAAATTGATAGTAGCGATCTTTTTTCATGGAAGAAAAAAATAAGATAAAATGAAACGAAAGATTATCGAGGAAGTTTTACAATTTTTTTTCGCGAATTTTCACATTTCTTAGCGCGGGGCCAAAAATGCTACGAATTCAAAATGGAGGACACTTTGTTGCCCTAATTATCTCACGAATGACCATTGTCCACTCGAAACGATTCGTCAATTAAGAGGTGACGTATTTAACGAACGAAGTTATGAAGTGGCCGAGATCTCGGTCTAAAGTGTTCTAATATAACGATTTAAAAAGTTTAAAGAAAAGAAATCTCGTCAATTGGCGTTAAAAGTACAATTGATATCGAATGTTATTTCAAATAAATATAAATGATATTAATCGTTATTTAATGTAAAGATTAAGAATCGATACAGATAATTATGTGTTTTATTATTTTGATCAATAATTAATAATCGTTATATGTTTTTTAATTTTAATCGAACGGTCCGATTAAAGTAATTATCGATTTCTTCAATTGCTACGTTATTTTCTATATGTTGTTACGTTATTTTCTGCATGGTTGGTTCTTCTATTTATTCGCTTTATCGATAACAACAATTCGTCAACCTTATCAACGCACCTTATCATTGCATATTCGTAATATTTCTTGTCTGATCCGTGACGTCTTCTTCTACTGTGAAGAAACACGCTTTGAGAAATCTCGCTTAAAATTAAGCAAGCTTTCCTTATCGAAGTATAATTATATATCGTTTTATGCAATCATTGCAACATATTTAATTAAATAAACGCATTTACTTTTCTCGACGAAGAAATTTATGAAGAATGAAAAATATCTTTCAATTAATCTAAGATATAAGAGATACCAGATTTCTTTATCTAAATAATCTAAAATTCTAATCATGAATAACAACTTCGTTCTTTATCGCTCGCAAAAATAATTCAACGCGTGATATTTTTATATCTTCCTAAGAATCGACGATATTTCTTTGTCGATCAGACTCCGTTCGTAAGTTAACAGATATAGAAATCTCGTGATTCGTGATAACCCCGAAGATCACTCGTTGCAATCAGACATCATTCACAAATCAAAGTAATTTTTTTCTTCGCCTCTATCTTGGTTGAGAAAGACGCAAAACCGTGTCAGAAGAAATGATACAATGATACACTTACGTTTCACTTTGAAATCTCATCACCTCGTCGTATTTGATTTTCCTATTATAAAAATAGATATAAACGCAGAAATAATAATTTTCCATGTACCATTGAACATTTCTCGAAACGATGATTCCGTCCGTAAAATAACAGTGGTTCGGTGTGCAACCTTGAGTCAGATCTATAATTGCTATTAATCGCACGTCTCCAAATATGATATTCCACGCGCATAATTTTGCACGGATCATGCACAGTTGTAAATAAAATAGTTAATAATTCCGGTGTTGGAAATGTCCGATGTTTCGACCAGCGACGAAATCAGGGTCGAGTCACTGGATTATTATAGATCCGAAAAGTTCAAACGGCCATGACGGTGGTCGAGCGACGCTTCTAAATTCGCAGGAAGCGAGTAGGAGAGGCAACCGAGTGAATAAGTAGAATATGAGACGATTTTCATCGAATCGGTCGACGACACTACTCGAAAATAGCATGGAGGCCGAGACGAGTTTGTCTTCCGCGGCATTTATTCGAATTTGAAGTCGAGTTTGTCAAAGATTTATCACGTAAATCGTTTGTGAGTTTGTTCAGTGACACGTTTGATAAGAAATGAGGAAAGTCTTTCTTCTTTATGAGATATCTTCGAATCGAAATAAATCGTCTCGATGATTCGATCGATCAAATAAAAATTTCTTGTTTGAATAAAAAAAAAAAAAAAAAAAAAAAATTTTTTTTTCATCCCCTTTTTTTTTTTTTTTTATAAATAAAAATTTTTTTTTTGAACCCGTTTTTTTTTTTTTTTTCATTTTTTTTTTAAAAAAATTTTTTTTTCATCCCCTTTTTTTTTTTTTTTTATAAATAAAAATTTTTTTTTTGAACCCGTTTTTTTTTTTTTTTTCATTTTTTTTTTAAAAAAAAAAAAAAAAAAAAAAGAAACGTGATCGATAAGATAATTTTCTTGAAAAAATAATGTAAGAGAAAAAAAGAAACTTTCGTAAATTTCCACATTTCGATAATAGTAGAAAAGTAATTTTTTCGTTTGACTTTTAATAGTCGAATCATTGCTCGCGTTTTTTAATTATACGCATCTCCTTCAAAAATCAAATAGGTATTCGAGCTATCGATAAAACTAACGGCTAATTCAACAACAAGATATTATCGTGTTGCAAACATCAAATTCCTAGATGTTTGCAGATGAAACGTGACCGATTATCGAATAGACGAATTCGTAATAAGAGTAGATATACAGGGCTTTGTTTGATCAATAAAATCGCAAAATGCACACGTGAAACGTGATCGGATATAGGAAACTATGATAAACGAGATAAACGCGAAACACGTGTCACTTAACCGGAAATCCTACGATTCGGAAAAATGAGAGGCGCATAATTATAAGCATCGCGACTTTGGTCGCGGGAAATTGCGTGTCAACGCTTACGCAATTTGCAATATTCACTTTACATAAGTTTCGCTATCTCTTGGCCGGTATATAATGACGACATCCAAGAATTCTCGAACGCAGTATGAAAAATTCAAAAACCCACGATTCCTGACGAGATTAGAGAAATCGAAAGAGAACAATTCTGGGAAACGATGTAACGAAAATAAATTTTGAAACACTTTTATTAACGCTTTTCCTGATTCTCCACATATTCGTATATATAATAAATGTATATCACCAAATAAATTAATCGTAGTTCGACGATGAGATTTCCTCTGGTCATTAACGATATCTCCGTCATTGATGATTATCCGTTCTACTATCTGACCTATAGTTGATGGATAGTGTCGCGTTACCAGCTTGTCTTCATTCAAACAAACATGTCCCTGTTATCGTTAAAACATTGAAACATAATCTTTAAACGATACTATATATAGAAGAACATGCGGTACCATGCTTGTGATTTTGAAAATCGACGCTATTTTACGAACCTCGCTCGAAGAGAAGCTTCTGTCGGAGCTCGAATAGTCGTTAACGCGTCGAGTGAGCTAAAAAGGATTAAAATCGAAGTTAACCAAAAGAGGATA